CTGCTTTTTCACTGGTTTGCAGTGGGAGGCCCAGATTGATCCACCTCCTCTACCATTGTGTAAAGTGGAAAAGCTCTCAAAAAATCAACTTGCAACTTGCTGTTACTTAAAAATATTAATTCTCCTGCTTGCCAGACTATATTTATGAAGAAAATCATTTGATAATATATGTAGTGAGTGGGATAGGCTGGGGCATTAAACTCAAACTCAAAAGTGTTTTTTTTTAATGGAATGTATTGTTTTTTCATTTTTTAAAAAGTAAACTTTATGGGGCAATCCCCTAGTGCAGTGTCTAAGTGTTCTGTACAAGGAGCCAGCTTCCACATGACTTTTTGTAGTTCGAATCCCAACCCTGAGAAAAACAAGTTGGTGTGTGTCTGCTTGTGCCCAGGATCCTGATGGGAAGAGGAAAAGGAGAAAGTGAGTTGTGGCATGACTGGGCTCCAGTGGGGCCACTTTCTCTTTTGTTCTCTCACTCTGTCTTTCTTTCTGTGGTGTACGTGTATACATTCTGGCATTAAAATTAAAAATTCAAATTTATGTATGTAATTTACATACAATAAATCTTTGTTTATAGTTCAACAAAATGTCATGAAATTGAATATTTCCAATCCCTCAGAATTCTTTCTTGGGGACCAGCAGTTAGCATAATGGCTATGTCGCTGGATTCCCATGTAGTCAACCGCATTTCACGTCCTGGACCCGGTGGCTTAAAACTCATGCCAGGTGCATGTGCGTGCGTGCCCAAGATCCCGAGAGGAGAATGGAGGAGAAGGGATTGCAGTGTGGCCATCTGTCTGGCGAGCGCATGCACCCTATAGCAAAAAACTCACGAAAAAAAGAGTTCTTTCTATGCTATTTGCAGTCAATCTTCCCCACCCTCTACCCTAATCACATAGTGCTCTTATTTCTAGCAGTATAGGTTAGGTATCAAGAACTTACGTAAATGGAATGATTACATAAATATGTATATAAGATATGCCTGCCTTTATTAGCTAGGCAACATGTTTTGCAGTGCTCTGCTGTTACATGTAGCTGTATGTAGTGAGTTCCTTTTTACTGCTGACTAGTATTAAGTTGTCCAAGTATACCAAAATGTTTTTTGTTTTGTTTTGTTTTGTTTTTTGTTTTTTTTTTTTTTTGATGGCATTGGAGTTGTTTCTAGGGTTTGGCTACTATAAATAGAGCTACTGCTAACATTTTCTAATGAATCATCTTTTTGTGTATACTTTTCTAAAATTCGTACTTTTTAAATTTACATTTAATCACTGAACATCTTTATAGTGTACAAAATGTTTTGTTCCAGCATAAATAAATAGTATATATCAATCCAGTCAAAGATATTACCTTATACATTATCATCAACAGATAACTTTTTCATTGATATGTTTGTTAAAGTATTTCTCCCACAATTCCCTCTTTCTCACCCCATGTTACCCACCCCATGTTACCCATTCCCTCCTATACTGCCTGATATCTACAGTTGTCCTCCCTGCTATTGTACCTTCCCATGTTTTGGTTCCTGTCCTAGAGTGAAGACATTGGTATATATTGAGTGGAGACACATGACATTTCTCTTTTATAGATTGACTTGCTTTGCTTAGCATTAAGTCTTCCATATTTATCTATTTTGTATCAACTGTCCATGTCTCATTGTTTTTTAATGGCTGAGTAGTATTCCATAGTGTATACATGCCACATTTTTTCAATCCAGCCATCTGTTCTTGGGCATTTGAGTTGATCCCATCTCTTAGCAATTGTGGATAATGCTGCAGTAAACATGAATGTGGAAGTGTTTTTCTGCCTGAATGTTTTTCTGTCCTTTGGGTAAATACCCAGGAGAAAGATTACTGGATTGTATCATAGTTTTATTTGTAAAATAAAAATTTTGAGGCACTTCTATATTGTTTTCCACTGTGGCTGTACTAATTTACATTCCCACCAACAGTGTAGGAGTGTTTCCTTTTTACCACAGCCTCACCAGCAGTTATCATTCTTTATTTTTTTAATCTTAGTCATTCTGATTGGGGTTAGGTAGTATCACATTCCGGTTTTGATTTGCATTTCCCTTATGGTAAGAGATGTTGAGCATTTGGGGTTAGGTGGTATCACATTTTTGGTTTTGATTTGCATTTTCCTTATGGTAAGAGATGTTGAGCATTTTTTAATATGCTTTTTGGCTGTTTGTACATCTTAGAGAGTTATCTTTTCAGCCCATTTACCCATTATTAAATGGGATTGTTTGTTTATGTTCTTGCAGGTAAGCTTCTTGAGTTCCCTGTATATTCTGATTATCAGTCCCTTATCTGAGGCATAGTTTGCAAATATATTCTCCCATTCAGAGGGTTGTCTCTTCACTCTAATTATTGTTTCTTTTGCTGTGCAGAAGCTTTTTAACCTGATACAGTCCCACTTGTCCATTTTAGGGATTGTTGCCTGTGTTGTGAGGGTCTTATTTAAGAAATCTTCTCCTGCTTCATTATCTCCAAGAGTTTCCTTCATTGTCACCAAGATTTTCACCAGTAGTTTTGTAGTTTGAGGTTTTATATTTAGATATTTGATCCATTTTGAGTTTGATTTTTCTCAATGGTGAGAAACAGGTCTGTGGGTATATTTCTGTTTCTTTTGGGCTAATATCTAAGCATGTAAATAACATGTATATAGATATACACTTGCATTTAAAAATCAGTGTTGATCCTTCATTGACCTATCAGAAGGTGATAGTCAAGTGTTTGCCACATGGTGCTTCTTTCTGAAGAATTTGATATTGAGGATATTTTTCTTTTGTTTTTCCCTCTTTTTATTTTTTTCAAATTTTTCCCAGAGGGCATATGCACTTGCTGGAGAGAAACAGAAATATATATAGAGAAGGAAAGTGAGAAAGCATCCTCATGAGAAATAGTTACACCACAATCCCCTCTCCTCCATCTTTTCCTCCTGTCAAAATTTTGGGCACACACACATGTGCCCCACTTTCTCTCAAGCTGCTGGTCTCAGACTCTACCCACACAGTCAGCCATGTGGGATCCAGCTGCCTCAACCACCACACCACCACCTGGGCCTTTATTTCTTTAAGACTTGGTCACACTTTGTTGCAATCCTCCTGCCTTAGCCTCCTGAGTTGTTGGACTGCAGGTGTATGCCACTGAATCTGGCTCTCTTAGACAGGGTCTTGCTTTGGTTTCCATGCTTGTTGCAAACTCTTGATCCTCCTGCATCAGCATCCCAAGTAGCTGGGACTACAGGTGTGCATCACCATTGTTAGGGACGGCCAGGCCTCAAACCCAGGCCTCCCATGTGGCCTGCTGAGAGGCAGTGTCAGCCAGCGTGCGCTATTGCTACTGCTCTCAGGATATTATTTTAAACCATAGTTGGGATAAATTTTTACTTCAAGATTACTAGTTCAGCTCATACTGTAGATCATAATTGAATTTTAGTCTGTGTTTGTAAATGGGGAAAATGACAAGTCTATATTAATAAACCTCAATCAGTGCCAGCCTCCTAGTACAGCAGCTAAGTGCTGTGCTAAGGAACTTAGATCCTACCTGGCTGGCTAGGGTTCAAAATATGGCCCTGCTGGTGACATGCTGGGTATATGTGCGTGCGCTCAAATCCTAATGGGATGCGCTATTGGACGAAGAAGGACTGTGGTAATACCAGGCTCTGTTGTGGGGTACACTCACTCTCTCTCATTCTCACATAAGCATACACACAATAAAGGAAATTTAAAAAAAAAAAACATAATAACAAAATAATTTTTAAATAGAGAGGTAAGACATTTGTGGGGCACAGAAATGTTTTATTACCTATTGATGATGACATGCACAGTATTCTCAACTGAGATATATTTCATGTTGGGTAAATTCTCTGTACAAGCTAAATGATGTATAGTGATTGAATGTACAGAAAAAATAATAATAATTGTAATTAAAATGGCTAAAAGAAAAACTAAATCAGGGTTAGGTAGTAGTGCAGTGGAAAGGCAACTCCACACCCTTGGAAACGTCCTGAGAGTATGTTCCAGGAACTCTCTTAGCACTCTGAGTGCATGCCATGATCTGGGCTGACTGAGACTGGTATGAAGACTCTCTGGGGGTGCCTTTCTCTCTCTCAGAAGAAATCGGTAAATAAACTTTAAAAACCCTTAAATATATTACTTCAGCATCCTCCTCCCCTTTCTTCCTGCTGCCATCCATCTCTTTCTCCCTTTGTTCCTCTCTCTCATTCTTCTTTTACCTTCCTTCATTACTCTTTCCTTCCTCCTGTTAAAAGCATGATCTATTTACCTTTCCAACATCCATTTACTTTCTTACCCTATGTGATTTAATAGCTGAGATTTTTTTTTTAGATGATAAAATATTCCCAAAGTAGTAATCAGTTCTTGAGATTGGCTAATGAGATGCTCTTTTATAATGGCATGTTTGCATCTCTGGTCTTGTGCACCCTAGTGATATTGTAATTGATGTTTGTTGTTTTATTATACCGCAGGAAATTACTTGGGTAAGATAGGAGACTACACGCAGCGTCACAGATAGCTATAACTCATGGCCAGTTTATACATGGAAAAGTTAATTCTTAGTAATATGGTTTGGATAGAAAAATAATTCTCTAAGATCAAGTGAGAATTGGAATGTTTGCATCGTAAAATGAAACACCCTTAGGTACTTAGGACAAGACTTTTGGAAATGACACATAATAGCATATCCTAAGCTTTATTGTAGGTGGGAAGTACATGCTGTGTTCCAGTTACAGAGTGATTGTCATTTTGAAGGCTGAGATTTCTGATAGAAATTGGCTGGAACGTAGATTTTCATTTTCTATCATGTAGTAACATTTCTTAAATCTGTTTTACAGCTTCTTGAAGTTATAACTGAGTGTGTGGTTGATTGAATGGTCTGAATGAAATATCCCTTTACGTCTGTTTCCCATGGCTTCAGATGCATCCTACAGGAACTGTACCATTTGTTGGACTAAACAACTATTCTTTTTCTTGGTTGTAGGATAAGAAGTGGATTCTCAATCATGAAGACGTCACTCTCGGAGAATTACTGGGCAAGGTATGTAATTAGCTGAGCTAAGTAACCAAAAGTCTTTGTGTTGATTGTAAACTCTGCACGGTTTCTGTTTTCTTCTTAGTTTTTCTAAGAATGTGTATTCTAGCACACATCAAGGCACAATACAGATTAACCTAGAAGAACACAATGCCTGTTACAAATACTGTGATGTTCACTGAAATAGATGTGTGAAAATCTTTGGAAGCTTTAAGGATGATTCTAGGCTTTTTTTAAAAAGTGTGTGTGTATGTTTTTCCCTGGAATGACCAAAAGCCATAATGATTTTATTATAGTGTTGAAGAACCAAAATTAATTAACTGAGATTTGAAAAGAAACTGTGAGGTAATACAAGTTTAACTTAGTTTGTTCTCTTTGTTTCCTGTTGTATGGAATACTGTAGGAAAAGTTGACTTCACCTTGAGATTTCAGGATTGTATTTAGAATTATACTGTGGAATATCAGGTGGACACTTTTTTTTTTTTTATAACCATGAATCAAATTTCCCCAAAAGGGGAATTTTATTGATTACTTTATTCCCTCACAAATAGACCAGCTGTAATCAAATGAGGTGAACATTCACCTCAAGATTTTGTTGTCTTCGTAATAGAAAAGATGAGACTTAGAGCTGGATCACGTGACCCTTTCTCTTCTTATCTCCTCCCAGTTCAAAGTGCTCACATCTCTAATAGCCAGCATTCTCTTAGATCTGCAGTTGGACACAACACATTCGAGCCTCAGCACAATCTTCTTTGCAGTTTTTGCCTTTTTCCATAAAATAGGCTTAGTTTGTCCACCATAGCCACTCTGCTTCCTGTCATAATGCCACTGTCCCTGAGCATGCAGAGAATTTTGGCCTTTTTGTGCTGTGTCACTTTATGAGGCTAGTGCTTGCTGCACTTCTTATAGGAGGTCCGGTGGATTTGGGGGATGTTCATTATGCTTGCGGGCCTGCTGTCTGCACAGAAAAAGCGTGGACACATTGTTTTGACCTAAAAATAATGTGGACAGATATGTTTCAATATAAATTCTCATTTTCTCACTAGCTCTACTAGTTTTCAGAGAGGGCAACTACATGTACTAAAAGTCTCTTCCAATATAGTTGGATGTTTCTTCCAGCTCATGAATCATATTAAAATATATCATGTCTAACAGTAATGGCAGGAATTTGATAATTAATCAGCGGAGTATATTCAAATCTATTAGTAATAGATTTGGATAGAAAAATAATTCTCTAAGATCAAGTGAGAATTAGAATGTTTGCATCGTAAAATGAAACACCCTTAGGTACTTAGGGCAAGACTTTTTGGAAATGACAAATAATAGCATATCCTAAGCTTTATTGTAGGTGGGAAGTGATTTTATTTATAATTGTGTTTTAGTAGATAAATATTAACTTATTTGTCATGATTTAATTAGAGATAATTCCAAATGAAAGTCTGAATTGAATTTAGCTTCATGGTGTGATGTGAAAAGAAGTATAAAATTCAGATATTTAGGGAGTAGTAATTAAGGGAGCCGTATCCCACATGGACAGCCATACAGTTTGAATCCTGACCCCAGCAACTTGAAAAACGCACCAGGTGGGGGCCAGCAGATAGTGCCATGATTATATTGCTGAACTCCCACATGGCCTACCGAGGTTCAAGTCTTGGACCTGGTGACTTGAAAATCACACAAGGCACATGTTCGTGCATGCTCAAGATCCAGGGAGGAGAATGGAGGAAAAGGGATTACAGCATAGCCATACCTCCAGGGGGTGATTTCTCACTTTCCCTGACATGGTCTCTGTCTCTCTCTCTCTCTGGCAAGCACATATACCCTAAAACAAACACCTCTAAAAGACAGAAAAAAATGCATGCGTGTGCATTCCCCAAATCCCATTAAGATGGAGAAATGGAGAAGCAATTGTGGCATGACTATGCCCCATTGAGCATGCTTCCTTCCTCCCTTCCTCTCTGTCTCTCTGGTATGTGCATGCACATTCTAACAATTAGGAAAAAATTCTAAGATACAGCATTTCACATAAAGAAATATATGATTATCATTACATTTTAAATTAGATGCAAATTTGATGAACAATTTTTTTCCTTCTCCCATAAATGTTGACAAAGTAGATCCCTGTTGAAATAATTTACTTGTTGAATTCTTATCACTTACTATTTTTAAATATCTTTTCCAAATGAAAGCATTAAATTACTATTAGAAAGCAGATTGTTTAATTTGCTGTTGACATTTACTTAGTAAATAAATTCTAAAGAACCTCAAGCTAAAAGTGGTAGCTGATGTGTTTATTTACTCTGTGATGGTCTCATCATTCTTAAGGAAATAGTCCTTCTATTGTACCACTCACTACCAACAGTAGTGATTGGAATGGAAATTATTTCAAAGATACTCATTTTCATGAAAATACAGTGAATACTTTTTAAATGTTACAATTAAACCACTGACTGAAAGATAATATGTTGAGAGGGACAGATTTTTCAGTATTAAATCTTTTTTTCACTTAGTGAAATATTTCAGTTATTTTTTATCTTTAGTTTACTCTGTAAAGCACAGCTTCTCAGGAGGAAGTTAGCTCCTTGGGAAGACTAGTTCAAAGATAATTATTTTTTCAATGACAAGGCATAGTGTTTCAGTCTCAATAAAGTTAATCATTTTTAATAAAAGACTGCACTCTAAGAAACACCATTTGGCTTTATTTCATCTAATATATATATATATATATATATTTCATCTAATATTTTTGAGAAACAGAAAATTATTTGACATTTCATTTTTTTCACTATCTAATCTGAGTGTTTACAGTACTCTGCTTGAGAGCGTATGAGTAATTAAAAGAGAACGTACTATGGTCCTCGCTTTACAGATGTTGGAGTTTAGTAGTAATGTAAGGTGATGGCAGGGGCTCTTAACTTTGTTATTTAGCGCTGTGTCCTTAGTAGACTATACCTGATATTTAGCTAGTAGTCGACAAATATTTGATGTAGTCATTCAATATTTGTCGAGTGCCTATATATGCCAGGTCTTCTAGGCACTTGAGATATGTTCGTGAACTAGCAGACAAATCCCATCCCTTTAGAACCTTATATTCTCTCTAGCAGAAAAAGACAGAAAAATAATAAGCACAGTAAATAGGCAAATTTTGTCATGTTAGAGGGTGCTAAGCCCAATAAAAAATAGAGAAGGGCTGAGAGTGCTATTACTGGAAATTATCATTTTTAATAAGAAATTCTGATAAGCCTTTTTAAATAGTTACTTTGATAACTAACTGAAGGAGGTGAGATTTAGCCATGTGGACACCTGAGGAAGAGATGTCTAGGTAGAATAGCCCATGCAGAGTTTGTTTGAGGAGCAAGGGAGACAGTTTGATTGGAACTAAGTAATCGGGTGGCTGTGTGACAGGAGAGGTCAGGGAGTGATGAGGGCATAGACTGTATAGGCCCTTGTAGTCCATGGTAATGACTTGGGCTGTAATTTTGAATGAAATGGTGAACTGACAGTCTTAGTGGATGAGTATGATCTTATTCCAGCTGTTGTATTGAAAATAGGCTGACAAGAAGGGAACCAGCAGTTAGCGTAATGGCTATGTCGCTGGACTCCCACGTAATCCACCACGGTTCGTGTCCCGGACCCGG